AAGGACTTCACAAATCTTTATACTTGGGAAAGTATTACTATAATCAAAATAGTGAACATATCCATTAATTCCCCAAAGTTTCTCCTGCCTCACTATTATCTCTCCTCCTGAGGCCACAACTGATTTCTATTCAGTAGAGTTTCTAAAATTTACACAAATGGAATCATATAATAGGCATTCTTTTTTTGTCTGGCTTCTACTCATAATAATTTTCACATCTTGATCTCATTATTGATCCGTATAGTTACCTGAATCAACAGCTCATAAATCTTCACTGATAAGTAGTATTCTACTGTTTGAAAGTACTACAGACCATCTTCAGCTACATGGAGAATTCAAAACCAGACCAGCCTAGGCTTCATGAAACCCTACCTTAAATAAACAAATATATATATATATATGTTTATCCATTCAATCATATTAATATAGACATTCAGGTTATTTCTTACTTAAGCTATTACAAATAAAGTTGCCACAAACATCTGGGTACAAGCCTTAAGGATACAGACTTTCAATCATTTAGTGTAAATTTCTAGGATGAAATGGATTGTCTGATAGATTATCCATGTGCCTTAGGTATTTTCCTATTGCTGTAATAAACACCATGATCAAAAACAACTTGGGAAGGGAAGGATTTTTTTTTTAATTTATTTATTATTTTTATTTTATGTGTATGAGTGTATTGCCTGCATGTATGTGAGTGCACTCATGTCATGCAACACCACGGAGGTCAGAAGAGGGCCTCGGATTCCCCTGGAACTGGAGTTAAGGACAGTTCGTAGCCGCCATGTGGGTGCTGGGAATCGAACCCAGGTCCTCTGCAAGAGCAGTCAGTGCTCTTAACCGCTGAGCCATCTCTTCAGCCCCAGGAAAGGGTTTATTTCTTACACTTCCAAAATACAGTCACCTTTAAGGGAAGTCAGGGCAGGAACTCAAGGCAGGAACCTGGATGCAGGAGCTAAAGAGAGACCATGAAAGAAGACCTCTGGCCTGTGCTCAATCTGTCTTACATAACCCAGGAGCACCTGCCCAGGGGTGGCACCATCCACACTAAGATAGACCCTCCCACATCATTCAACAATTAAGAAGATGCCTCACAGACATGCCCACGGGTCAATCCGATAGAGGAAATTTCCCAATTTGAGGTTCCCTTTTTAAAGGTGTGTGAAGTTGATGACCAACGCCAACCACGTCAACATAAGGAACTACAAAATTGTCTTCTAGAGTGTACCACCTTATACTACCAGAAGTATAGTTCCAAGTGCTCAACATCTTCTTTAACACTTTATGGAAAATCAGTCCTTTTTTTTTTTTTTTTTTGAGACAGGGTCTCACTGTATAGCCCTGACTGGCCTTGAATCTGCAGAGATCCTGCCTGCCTTTCCCTCCCATGTACTGAGATTACAGATGTAATTCACCAGGATTAGCTTTAACAAAGCTTTTAAAGAAAAAGTAAAATATGTAAAATCAGTAGTTAAGTTTAATTTTCCAATTATAATAGTTTTTCAGAATTAATTTCATACTACCTAACTGATCAGTATACATACCAAGAAAATTCATTAATATAAACAAAATACCATTAACTTCAACTTTAATGAGTAAATATAGCAATTGTAATAAAAAAAAATTTCTTTTTGAGTTTCAAAAAAAAATCTGTTCCTCCATACCATGCAAAATGAGTGGTAATTTTTTTACTCAGGAAAGTATCATTTTATCTGTTACTGGCTACGTTTAAACAATTTAACAGGCTGTGGTGATTTTCTTCAGACTACTATATCAAGGTCAGTTGTGCCTCTTGAGTCAGAGAAATACAAAACTGAAACTGTTTCAGATCAAATCTGTTGGTAAAACAATGCTGTACCTGCCACTTAAAAGTTTTGCACAGGAGTGTTGTAAAGAAAGGTCACAAACACAAACCCTAAAGTCCTCAGGCAGACCCCAGCATACAGAAAGCTAAAACAGAAAGATGAGTGAAGCTTCTAGGCCAGCCTGGGCTACATAGTAAGTTCCAGGTCAATCTAGGCTACAAAGTGAGAGAGGAGAGAGGAGAGAGAGGGAGAGAGAAGGAGAGAGAGGGAGGGAGAGGGAGGGA